CATAACATCTTTTTTATGTTGCTAATTTGTTTCACGCAACAAAAGTGCCATAATTACGACACACGATACACTGATAAATGCATGTGAAATTGTTATCTTCTCCATATACATTAGGTAGAAAAATTACCATTCAACATGGGTATGGGAAAAGAAGCGATGCTGGATAGACCCATTTTAGAAAATCTTACAGTAGCATTCTATACAGGCGCTTGAGTGAAATCTACTCAGCAAATAAGAGGGGTGGCCAAATATTGTGCACAAAATGTGTTTCAGATGAAATTTGACCTACACTAATAGAAATATTTAAATGTTTTACGATTATTTTTCCAAGACATTCTAGGACCATATTAAACGAAAAAACAGCTTTTAGAAAGATATACATGTTGCTGGTCAATGGTGTTTCTTTATCTGGTTGCTATGCCACCTTTGAGGACAATTATATAAAACTACAAAATATTTGTTTAGTTAGAAATGGCTAACATACTAATTATTTTCGTTTTCAACATTTTAATAATGCCTGGACTGAAGAGAATACTGGATGAGTAACATTTTCACGGCAATAACCCAACACACGTATTTATATACAGCAACATCAGCTTTTATTACAGTATTAAAACTTGTTTCAAGTATAGATATTACAAAACAAACACATAAAAAGTTATGTCAAGTTTATATAATAAAATAACAACAAACACAATGTTAAAACTTATTTTAAAACAAGTTACAAACAAGACACACGGCAGATAAGAGTGTCTGGTTGGCAGACCATACTCCACAGTTAATTGAGAGTGTCTGGGTGATAGATAAAAAAAAATATGTAAATAAAAAGTGCTTTTGACGATTGCGTTGTAATCGAATGCACACTGTTTTGTTTACTCTATTATATTTAGCACTCAGTTCATTTAAATGAATAAAGTATTAAAATTGTTTTTATTTCATATTTTTTATGTGTAAACATTTAAGATAGTGGTATTATATGATATTATAAAGGCAAGTATTATAAATCAAAATACCTACCAATAGTATTATTTTTAATGTATACATACATTTCAAACTATAGAATACGTGCTTCCATACTTTAATAACTTTTTTTTCAACTCTGTTAAAATCAAAATATTTTTCTTTGTCAGGGTTTCTTTCAGGCATGTCTTTGGAGGGGGGAAGGGGGCTAGTCCCCACCCCCCCGAAGAAATTCTACCGTCCCCCCCCCCCCCCCCAAACGATATGGAATTTATAGATAAAATATATACTTTTAACATTGTGCGACCTCCCCCCTCCCCCGGAAATTTTTGTCTGCCCACCTCCCCGAAAACTTAAAATGCCCCCTCCCCCCCGGCAGAGAAAAAAGTCTGGAAGTAACACTGTACTTTGTTTATTTTAGTTAGCATTTCGAGCGAAAAATAATCTCTCAGTATTTTGAAAGTAAGTCATGATTTTAATTTTAAATGCAAATTAAATGCCGGCTAAAGCCGGCAACATGGCGGGTAACGTCGGCCACGCGGAAGTAGAGTCCTGAAATACAACAATTCAATAAAACTTGAAGTCACAACATTAAACCGTTTCCTGTCATAAAAATATGACTATTTGATGTTATCCCAACATTAGTCCATCTTGTCAGACCACAGCAAGAAAGAACCTCCAACGTTGTTCTTTTAGTTCAACTCTAACATTTCGGCTGAAAGATCAAATAGTGACACGAAGCAATACACACTTTTACACGATATACGTTTACTTCATGTGCAGCATGAAATGTTCTCCATTCAGAAGTATTAAGTCCACATTAATCTGGAGTGTAATGCTCTATTATATGTCACTGATACATGTTTGTTTTTGTAGAAACACATTTCAAAGAAACAAATAAATGCAATATCCGGCATATAATTCAACATGGTGCATCGTGATAGTGACCCCACACCACCCACAGCTTGTCAGTGATAAAACATTATTCTTTTCATTCTTCATATTTCTATCCACTATCTGATAACGATACTAAGAAAACAAAAGAACACGGTTTTTGAAACAACCAGCATCGAAAGTCAATAATTTTATTTCTGACACATCTTAGGGATCAGGTGACACATGCTTGTTTAACGACAGCGGTTATGGCTGGTTACTTAAGATCCGGTCCGTTGTAAAATTTACTTGCCTTCTCCCCATGGAGAAATAGATTCGTATGGATATTGTATTACAGACACAAGCTTGTTTGAAAATCATAAATTCATCTTTATGTAAAATATTGTTTCATACAAACAAGATATATAAGAAATGTACGGTAAGACAAGATACACACACGTCGGCGTATAAAAAGACACATTTATCTCATTCTGTACCAAGTTTAGTGGATATTATGTTTTACATTACATCACATCATAAATATATTTTAGAATATAAGTTTCCCTTTCAAACCTGACGGTCTATGGGGCAAGTGAAGTAGAGTTCATTTGTTTCTGTGACCTCGGCATATGAAGAGAAAGTGTGGTCAGCACTATGCCCAGCCGCCTTTACTTTCTTAACGTGAGTTAGGTACCCATCAGAGTTGGGTGGACTCAGGGACGGTCTACTGACTTGAACCCGGATACGAACACGAGACTTACGGGTTAGCAGTCCAGCTCTCTACAGCTAGACTACTCCGTATTAGAATATAAAAGTCAGAAAAGTATGATATTTAATAAAGTCTAAAATAAATTTCAATATCAAAACTTAAAATAAAACATAAATGAAAAGCTATTTTTGGTCCATACAGCAATCAGCTGTCTCTGTAGATTGACCACATGATGTACATCTGAAATCAATATAGGCCTATCACTAATGGAGTTACATTATTTACATCAGCAGGTAAAGTATAAAGTTGATGATATGGAACTTGCGGATGTCAGTCGTCAAAAGTACGACATCATCTATGTACCACACGTCAGACATTATATCACAATTAGATTTTGTTTTTTTAACCCAAACTAAAACATCTCAAGTGTTGTAGTCAATTTCTTACATTGTTTGTATTCAACACGAAACTTAAACATCGTTTAAATTATACATCCAAAAAGACCTTTTCCGAATTCATTGTTTTAAAAGGTTAAGTAACAATATGTGCCAAAACTTACTAGTCATAAAGATAAAATAAAAATGCAGAAAATATTTAGAAATCGAAATTAAAGAAACACATTACTGAAACATAAAAAAGCTACTTTTCAATTAATTTCTTAAGGTTTCAACATTTCATATATTAGCAATTGTATGTGTGTGTGTATCTATGATTAGATAACATGCTGCTAGTAATGACACGATTTTTAAATATTAACGTTGAGGTAAGCTTCTTTAAGAAATTGTTTATACCGTTTCCATGGTTTCACAATCAACGGCACCGACATATTGATTTGTTTCTGGCATATACAAGTAAATACATCGATTTGTTTTTCTATCATTCGTTTCAGTGGCGTACCCAAACACTGGTCATATAGAGGGTTCATATGATTTTATATATGTATATGTATATATATATATATATATATATATATATATATATATATATATATATATATATATATATATATATATAATATTTTATTATTTGTTTCAAAGCATTTTCAGTGGCTTTAAATTATTATATAAATGATAAAATAAAATAAAATGGTAAACATAAAACGATACATTAATCGTCATTGTCTATCGGGCGTTCTAAACTTCGATCATCACTTACCTACGTCAGTGATGATCTGTACATGCTAGCTCGATCGTTTCATACTAACACTTTATTGCGTGAAGAAAAAAAAAATTACAAAAGATAGTGAAATAAAGTGAAAGTCACAAGCTTTAAAACAGTCACCTCTCAAATGCGAAGGTGTTTCAAAGCCCCCGAATCCACCCTTCCTTTACTGATATCAAAATAAAGTACACCTGAGACCCCATGTCTGCACTCTTGAGAGGGGGGGGGGGTTATGAATGTGATATACCCCCAATTATAACACTCCTGCATACTCTGTTTACGTCCCTAACGATTGGCCCTAAAGTATCGATTTCAGTTCGTTATTTCCCCCATGTTGCCTAGCTCAGGTTCTAACATGACTTAAAAGTTATTTATCGATTTGTATTGATTCAATCACACGGCTCGACGCAATTCTATAAGTAATAAAACAAAGTCCACCGGTTCAGCCTCTCTAATGAATGGGGTCTTTTAATCAATATAACCAGCTCCATCGATTTATTGTGAGGTTTAGATCAGCAATCGATACATCAATCAATCATTATCTATTTATAGAAAATCAATCCAATAACTGTTCCCATCTTGCTAGAAATACGTCGAGGAAATATAAATAGATGAGTCATGACCCAAACGTCAGTAAAACTTATTTTTTTAATTTCAGGATAGACTATACGGAAAATAATCTTTTTATTCAACACATTTCTGGGTGTTTAATAAATTTATATGTTAATAGCTGTTAACCTATTGGCAAAATTAATATATAGCCGCCAATGGCAGTAATGGTTGCTATGGAAACCACGAAAAGGTGTGAAAACTAACACCGGTTCAACCCTCTATTACTTTGTTTCCGTAAAAATAAATTAAAAGCTGATGAAAAATTTAGATTTCTCGAAACAAACTATACATTTCTACGTTTATTCATTGCGATAGCTCCCCACAGACGGACTTTATTGTCCCAGTTTTAATGTAGATATATTCCTCAAATGTAAAGCAACAATCGGTCTAATTAACGAAAACCATACCACGTTTGCTTAGTTGAGGTTTAATATAAAATGTAAGGCATTAAACAGACTAACATTTATTTACTACAAACAAAAAAATTAAATTCCAAAAATAATTTTAAATGGTAGTGTTATCATATGAATGTATTTATGTTCTGTCGTGGAAAACAAAATTGTAAACTGCTTAACTTAAAGTTGGCTTATTAAATATCTAAACATCTGGCAAGTTTAGGTGTAAATTTAATATCGGAAAAACCCGTTGTTACTTTGCTTTCAAATTATTAGCAAACAAGTCGAGTCGAAACCACAAGTGGTGATTATTATTAAAACTTGATTGAAAGAACACTGAAAGAGCACATTAAAAAATAATTAACCCTTCTATTCCTGCATTATAGAAAACATCACAATAAGGTAAGTAGTAGGTAGATTCTAAAAGCGGGTCAAATAATATTTCATTCTATCGTTCTTGGGGTACAAGATTTGGGACTTTGCTCGACTTTTTAAAACTAAACCAAATACAAGCAGTCGTCTATGTACAATGTTTGGTGATTAACATCAGCCTATATTGTTGATTTTTACCAGATGCGACCATTGTACCAGGTACAAACTATTTCACTGCTTCTAAAACATCTGGACAGTCTGAGAGATGTTATAAATCCGATATTAATCTCGTTAAATCAAGTAAGTCAAACACGGAATTTGTTTTTCTTTTTAAGAGCAACATTAATTCAATTGTTTACATTGTTATTTACACCTCAAATAATTTACTTCACTAATAAAATACTTTAAATTTAAAGTATGGCTACACATTCTTAATGCCACTTAAATGAATTACTCTCTAATTACAGACCATGGTCGAACGCCAATGCTGGCTAAAGGACGATGACAGAAAAACTTTTAAAGAAATGATGCTACAACTGGAGGACACAAATAGTTCAACATTAGAACAGGTGTCGGCGTTGTTAGGTACTAGGTGTAACGTTACTAATTACTTCATGCTTTTTGTTTATAAGTATGCTTTGTTAAAGCCAAAGCTACATGCAGTGTTTGTTCCAGACATTTTTTCATCGGGGGGCATTTGAAATTTTCAGGGGGGGGTGGTGCGGACACTGTAAAAAAAATATTTTCTATATTAATTCCATTTCGTTCGGGGATGAGGTAGACTTTCTTCGGGGGAGGGGAGGTTTAGGAGGGGGGGGTGGGCTGCACCTATGATTTAGTTGAGTCTAATTATATCAGTGTGTAGAATTCGGTGTCACAAAATCATTCTAAACAACATATTTTAAAGTTTATCAAAAACGGTTGAATAAGGTAAAAGAGATTTAAACAATCAAAGTATTATAATGTAAAATTCTGAAAAAAAAGTAATAAGAAACTATCAACATCTTAATGTAGCAAAATACGTACACATAAATTATAATATACGCATTATTATATTTTTTTGGTAACGGAAAGATCATGTTTATTTACGCATTATTATATATTTTGTAGCGTATTAATTGTGTATCTTTACATCATGCACCCACCTGTATGGATCAGAGAGTTCAGGACAGACAGAAGCCAACATTTCCTCCACCAACCCACCAATCACCAACACAAATGTTGTAGCGTCACAACAAGACAACACAGAGGACAAAACATGCAGCAAGTTTGGTGAGGGATATTTCTACTACAGTGGTAGTAACGTTATGTTTTATTTTAGAATTTAGACACTATGCGCCCTGATATTCATTATGATTTTTTAACAATAGTAAAAAGCATCATTATTCGGCTATTTAGATAGCATTATCCATATTGTTTTGTTTCTTTTAGATTACGTATTGTATGCTATAGATTTTAAACATCCCAAAATATTTATAGTAACAATTATATGATTAAAACGCAGCAATAAGATGCAATAAGAATTATAAAACACAAGTAAAACACAAATGATAGGTTGAAAATTAAATTCAATTATACTCTTTTCATCCTTTAATCAATTTATCAATAAACATTGTATTTTAAATCCAACTTTACCGTGTGTATCCAGTGACCATAGAAGAGTTCCAGTGTCTGCTACACAAGCTAGACATCACTGACATGACAACTGGTTCACTAGAAAGAAAATATCTCCAGTTAGAGGAAAATATCAACACAGTCAATGATAAACTCACACGTTTTGAAGGCAAGATAAAATCTCAAGCAAAGAAATCAAAACAACAAGATAGAAGGGTAGAAGAAATAGAGAAAAACTTGGATGTGTCGACAGAAAAAATAGAGGAACAAGCTAACGCGACAAGAAAACTTTCTGATAACATGAGGCAAATGAAGACGTCAACACAAGAAATAAATAAATCTTGCTGTGACAACAAGAAACACCTAGAAGAGTTAAGTGTGATCACTAAAGATCTGGTCAAGAAAACAAATGATAATGAAACTTCTGTCCAAGATATATCAGAAAGTTTGTCTAGAACTGATGAAAAATTAACAAATGGGGAATTAAAGGTAGATATATATATATATTCTTATCTTTAACACGTTCTGTTATGTCCATTCGAAATTAAACCCTTAAAAATAATAGACGATAACTATTACATTATCTCTTAAAGAAAACTTTATTTAGAAAATAGAAAGCTAAGATAGGTAACATTTAAATTATCCCCTTAACTTAATATATAAAACATATGGGCGCACCTATTTCTCTCTCTCTCTCTCTCTTTAACAGTCCGCAGTTTACTTTCCGAGGCTATTACATCAGTACATTCAGCAATATATGGAAAACTTAAAGATACGGACTTTTTAGGAAATATGTATGATGTATTAAATGTATGAATTAAATTTTATTTAAAGACGGAAAATAAAATGAAGGAATGTTGAAATGTAGAAACAGATCTTCGATTATGCAACCGAAAACAGTGTTTATTACTTAGACAAAAAACGACCTAGAGTGCATATTAGTTGCACTAAAACTATTACTGGCAAAAAAGAATATCTTCACTTGAAATAAATAGAAAAATAAAATTAAAAACAATGTAAATAAAAAAGTTTAAACTTCGTAAAGTACAAAGCACTTAGGAAAAATATCAAATTGAATTCTAATATCGAAACTGATAACATTTTCTCAGGCAAAAAAAACTATTTTAAAAACAGTAAAAATATCCTTGAATTGCTTGGTTTTTAAAGGAATCATTTAGGTCATTGATCAGTGTGAGCATTTAGAATGACTAAGTGTAGACTAATAATGTATATAATTTAGTTTTAATTTTTTTCTAAAAGGTAAGATAGCCTATGTTAAATTAAATATGTCGGATTTTAGCTATTTAGTTATTTAACTGATTTGTCACTAATATCGTTCAACGTGGTGTAAAGCACATTACGTTTTGACTAACAACTATTTTAAGAAATATAGTCCTAAAACAAGTAGGCCTATAACATAAAAAAAAATGTAGGCCTATAATTTACGTGTAACAGGTACTGATGGCTAGTAACATTTTAAACACTCACAGCCCAGTAACAACTTAATAAACCCTTATAAATTATAGCCAACCACATAGCCGTAACAACCAAATTACCCCTTTATATCTGTACAGACTGGAGCTATGTGTCAAGTACTGGCAAAAAGATTTTCACAATTTGAGTCTTTACAAAATGTCTTCAGTCAACTGATGAAATTAAGAGAACAAAACGCTGTTCAGGTATTTGATATGTTTATTTTACGTTAGTTCTTTGGGAAAATTCAATTGTAAACTGTACTGAATAACCTGTTTTTTACAATTATTTTTAACTCAGTTATTCTGGTATTTTATCACAACGGTAAATATATTATTTATTTTGGAAATTTAAGAAGACACATTATTTGCAATAGAAATATTTAGTTAATTGGCCATGGTTAATCCAGAATCAAAATCTCGTTAGAAAACGATGTGTTAACCCCTTAATGCCTGAATTATGTTCCAAGCGTGTAAAAAATTATTTGTGCTGATTTTCTCTCATTATGAATTTGAGGTATATAGTTGTTTTTGAATTTGGACTTATTTTGGATGATAATTACGGTATGTCGCGAAAACGCGACATCAGGCACTTATGGACCAAACAGTAATTTAATTTTATTTTAGTCCGGGTCATTTTACTATTTTTGCTGTTACATGTTTCTCTAAATATCCATGCAGAAACAATAAAATATCACAAACTGAACATACGGACATGCAAGGAGATGTAGAATCACTTGCAAAATTCATGAAAACTATACTTTATTAGCTCAGGCATAGAGTTACATAACTCTGCTGCACCTGCTCACTGACTAACTCTTATGAATAGGTATTTTGATGTCTTGCTGTCGTAATTCTACTACACTACAGTAACACACTACATATGGAAGGACTTCCTTCAACGTGTAGAGCCTTAGTTGTCCCCGGTTACGTAATTTTCGTGATCTCTTATTCAAGGTCAACTAATAAAGACGCATATTTCTCATTTGACCTATATTTGCTATACACACAAAGCACGTGAACAAATACTGTCCTAAATGACAGTGTTCAGCCATTGTATATTCGTCCATGCTCAATGCAGCTGCTGTGGGTACTTAGTGTCACTGCTGTGGGTACTCAGTGCCACCGGTGTGGGTACTCACTGCTATTGTTGATGGTACCCTATGTTTCCGATTCGTGCTACGGCTATTGTTCTCGACTGATTCTGATATTGATTACCAATGACAATACTGTAGCTACATATTGCCACTGGTATAGGTACTCAGTGCTGAAAGAGTGGGTACTGAGTGTTGAAGCCATGTGTACTGAGTGCTGAAGCTGTGGCTACTCACTGTTGAAGCTGTGGGTACTCAGTGTTACTGCAGTTGGTTCTTGGTGTAACTGCTGTGGGTACTCAGCGCTGGAGCTGTTGGTAATCGATAACGTTGATGTGGGTACTCAGCCTTAGCAGTAGGTACTCGGTATCACTGATGTGAGTGCTTAGTGCTCAAACTGTAGTTGCTCAGTGTCACTGATGTTGGTACTAAGTGCTGAAGATGTGGGTACTCAATAACACTGCTGTTGGTACTAAATACCAGTATAATGCCACTAATGTGGGTATGCAATAGCACTGCAAAGGGTATGTTTGTCAGTACTCAACCTCACTGTATTTATTACGAGGTGTAGGTCTTTGCGCAGTGTTATTATTGTCAAGGTCACCGTGAAGACCTTTATTTGGTGGTATCCAGGATAGTAGTCCACCACCTCACTTCCTGTTGTCTATTATGTTTTTTATGTTCTCCTAATATTTTACAATACTATTTCAAAGCTAAATTAGTTATATTGTACCCAGCAACATGATCACAACATTCAAGCATCGCTCTCTCTCCATATGCTAATGTCAATGAAACAGGTGAACTCTACTTCACCTACCACATTGACCGTAACGTTCTAAAGTGCACTTTTATATATAGGCGAAGACTATATTGTAAATCCTTTACTTATTTGTAATCATACTTGAATGAATGACAGCTTGGCGATGCATCGTATATCGTTATACCTGCTTGGCACCCAAGTTCCATTTGTTGTCTTATTGCCGGATGTCGCGAAAACGCGACAAACCGTAATTAGCAGATAACTTCCAAAATTATTCTCATATGTGATTTATATTGTTTATATACATAAAAGAATGAATAATAAAGCTATTAGTATTTTTTGTAGAAAAAACGGATCACCTATTTAGTAATAATAATCAATGTAAGTAGGACGAATTCACGAAGTCAAAAAAATTACGATGCGCGTGACTCAGGAGAGTGTGACGTCATAAATTTCGACTTGACAACGTGACCGCTGGTACCTATACAACCGTCTGGATCTACCCAATACACAACGACCGGCAGCAGTAGGATAAATCTACATATGCGCAAATGCTATGCGCTAAATAGGTATGTCGCGAAAACGCGACAGTCGGCGTTAAGGGGTTAAATAAAGTATAATGTTTCTTAGTCAAAAACATTCTTCACTGTCTCTTTCTAACGTATTAACTGTTCCTCTTTTAAAAAGTATAACTTCATAACAATCATTTATTGTAGATGAAAAAAGTAAAATGAACTCAGTTGCTTAGAAGTACTGCTAATATTATTATTGCTTGAATAACTAACGGGTGCATGTTGGTCTTTCAGGAAAAACTACTTTAATAAGAACATTTTATTCTTTGCATGTAAGATCTTTGATAAATATTTATAACATAATATACTTAACTGTACCAAGAGGAAGTGATACTGAGTTTTAGTCCGTGACTGGCTCGGTTGTTGAATCAGGCACTAGCCTTTAAGTTCGTCGTTTGTCTAGGTGTATCTAATAGTGTTACCCCAAACACTAAAATAATTCAACGGGACAGTGTTATTCTTAGTTTTATTCGCTTTTAGAGAAATAAACATCTGTTCCGCCGGGAGAGATTTTTTTATTAATAGAAGAGAATCTTTCCAAAAAGAATTGCACACCGAATGGTCATCAAATAATCCGTGTATAATAGTGCGGAACATTAGTTATTTATAAACAAAGACAGAGGAATCAAGTTAAAATAAATTCTAATGCGTTTGTTTTTTAGAAATTGGAAATAGGGTAAAGTATTACTTCCATTCACCGGAAATTATTCGAAATTGTCAGAAAATAGAAAATGAGATATTTTACTAAAATACAGGAAATTCATTATATCTTACTTAAAGCAGTATACAGATTATAGGCTTTAAAAAAAACACCAAAAGTTTAGTAGGTTCCACTAACATTTACCAGAAATCAAATCACTGACTTGATATAGAATTACATATTCTATACAATACTTATATATGAAATTTCATCAACTTATCTATAACGGTTCTCAAGCTATAGTGTCACAGACAGACATACAGACACACACACACACACAGTCACATAGACAAGATTGCAAAATTAAGTTTTTCCGACTCAGGGAGGTCTAAAACATCGATTTTTGCACGATTACAATACTCCTTTATACTCTGTAGACGAGAAAGTAAAAAAGGTGTAATAATGTGAATAATGCAATAAAAAGAAAATAACTGTATATTCATGTTTATACGTGAGTATATTTATTTAATAGTTTGTCTGCTCCGTTACATGAGGGCATCAGTACTATGTGTAGAACTGTAAAATAGGTATTTTTGTAGAGACCAATCTTAAAAAAAATATTTAAAGACGCTATTTATGTATTGATATATTCATTTGTAGATACACACCTATAATTATATAAGTTCGAAACAAGTATTTATGTTCACGAAAAATTTAAACGTTTCACCTGTTTTGTGACGTCACTGATTTATTTAATTATTATCATGGCGACTAAATTTTCTGATTTTCTGTCGGCTATAGCATCAAAGATAAAATGTCTGTTTGATATTTTTATTAGGTTCAAACACTATAATCAATTTTCCATATGACACGCTTGGCAATTCTTCTAACTTGATAATACAATAAGAGTGGGTCTTTATATTTATTTCATCTACTTTTTCAGTTAACTGA